CACACACACACACACACACACACACACACACACACACACACGTGGTCCGCATAAGTGGCAATTAGTTCTTTGGTAAACTTGATTGCTGCGTCGATTTACTGGTGTCTCTTTTCAATTCTCCTAGAATCTTGATTGCTGTGACCATTTAGCAATGAAACCCTGCTCACAAGTTCTCGGCAAATGGACACAGCATTGCCATACACACAGTTTCCGCTCCTTCTACGAGTTTGCAGAACCATCTCCGATATCTAGCATTGCTTGTTAAATGCTGAACACCTTTTTCACGCTGATCAAGGGGTCTTGCCATAGAGGAGGAAACTTGACGCTCCAGTTCACACCTTACGGGACATATTTACTGGTCGTTTTTAATATTTTTCTTCCCAGAAGTAGATATGCTCTCTAAATTGGATGGGTAGTATCATACTAGTATGGGTACAAATAACTCGGTAGTTACAGAGGTGCCAACCATTGCAAACGATCACAAAAACACAGCTTTGTTTGCCTGAGGGGTCTTCCACTTACACAAACAAAGACCTGATCTAATTCAAAACTTAGCCACATGAGAGCTCAGGGAGCTAAAAGCTGATTTGACCATTCAGATTACCATCTCTCCTCTTCAGTTTATCTCTTATCATCCAATTGGACATGAACTCTCCCCTATTTATCACCATTCACCCATGCAAAGGCATGCAGACGCAAGGCGATCATACCCAAGGGGACGAGAACAGAAAAATTTGCTTATCATACATTTTCCTCCTCATGGCTTCCGCAACACTATCAATCCATCCGTCTATCCTACACTATCTATCCATCTATCTATCCTATCTATTATCCTACACAATCTATCCATCTATCTAGACATCTATCTATCCTATCTATCCTATATATATGCTATCTATCCTACATATATCCATCTATCTATCCTACCTATCCTTCTATCCAATTCTATCTATCCTTTTATCGTATCCCATCTGTCCTTCTGTCCTATCTCGTCTCCTGCCCTGTCCATCCCTCCATCCGATCATGTCCGTCCTTCCATCATATCCTTTCCCCTCCCTTCCTTCCCTCCCTCCCTCCCTCGTTTCATCCATCACCCATCCATCCATCCATCTGTCATCTATCTATCTAACCCTCGTGATCTTCTTACCTTATCTAATCTAACCTAATGTTATATCTAATTGAATCCGCCTGATTGAATCTAATCTAATGCATCCATAGATTCCATACAGATCCCGTGATGGTGCACCAGACTACTCAGGAAAGCAATGATCGGTAAGCAGATATCAATGGCGATGCTTATGCAGTTAGGACATAATGTTTATCTTCATACACAAATCCACAACTAGGACAGAGGGCGGATTCTTCCTTTGTCTCTTAGTCTGAAAAAGTGGATGCCCAACAAGCACTGTTTTGAATCTTCCCAAGCCTGGAAGACACACCACTTCACACATTGGTTGGTTTTCTCTCCCCTGCTCTCTCTCTCTCTCTCTCTCTCTTTTTGCAGAATGCGATCTTCAAAATGCCAGTCAACGGTCAGCTACGAGAACCTCTAACAAACAACAAAAACATTGTCATTTGGGTTTCAACTGTGGTCCCCTGGAAGCCACAAACCCCCAACCATCACAGCCGATGAACGTCACCAACCTTTTGCTGGTCATATGCTAGCGTAATGAGCGCCTCAATCACATCCCAACTGCCTGTGAAGTACCCAAAACTGCCACCAAGGCCACGTCCAGAGAACACAAAAGACAAAACTAAATCAGTAAAGCTCCCTCCACCGCAGGATGGTTGGCTGAATGGACCACAGACTTCGTGATGTGGTTGTCAACATGCCACTGGCATCCTTGTTTCCTTTTTTCCCTTCCCCCGTGCCACCCCCCTCCCCCCAATTTTCCTTCTGCATACATTACATTTTGGGATGAAACAACAGAAATAGCCCGTCTATGTTTGAAAAGACAAAACTAGCCTGCTCAGAATGCACATGGGATGCTCGCGCATCGTTTCCGGCTCTCAAGGGAGCACTATGCTAGTAACCCCAGTTTTACACATCTTCAACCCTACCTTATGCAGGTTTAGACAGACGCTTCACACCCTCTCTGTCGCCAGAGCGGAGCCAAAGACGGAATGGGAGAATCGCATCTGGCTACGATATGAGTACAGTACTTGACCAGAGTAATGGAGAAGCCTCCCCACGTCCAGCTCCATATCATCCAGGCTCTTTTGGGTACCTGTACTTGCAGGCGCGTTCAGAAGGGAACTATGCTAGCAACCCCAGTTTTACGCATCTTCAACCCTACCTTATGCAAGTTTAGACAGATGCTTAACACCCTCTCTGTCGCCAGAGCGGAGCCAAAGACGCAATGGGAGAATCACATCTGGCTACGATACGAGTACAGTACTTGACCAGAGTGACGGAGAAGCCTCCCCACGTCCAGCTCCATATCATCCATGCTCTTTTGGGTACCTGTACTTGCAGGCGAGTTCAGGCCTGGGCTACCGGCTACTTTCTTACGCATTTCCAAACCCAATCCAAGCGAGATGTTCATGTATGCACTTTTCTTCTTCTTCTTCTTCTTCTTCTTCTTCTTCTTCTTTTGTTTATGTGGGCCGATGGACCACAGATCAGATGTTAAACACATGGGTACGATCGTGCTATTATGTGTAATGTCATGGGCATGGCGGCTACGGCCTCATTCTACACTAGGAAGAACACCTTCACCCCCCTTCCATGTATCAATTGGGACTTCTCTTCTCAATTCAAGGCATCCTCACACTAGCACTCTGTACTTATTTCCGGACGGAATTGAGGCTAGATGCATACAGGTCCGGCTGTAAATGCTGCCAGATACATTTAAGGTAGTCCTCCTGTGAGTTCCCCCTCTCATAAACACATCATTTGGAAGACTGCTATTCCGGGAAGGTGTAACAGTGGAAACAGGAGCCTAAACATAGAATTGAGCCATAACCATCAAAAGGAGACCAACCCCAGAACAGGACCTCCATTCTATTTTTGGAAGCCTCCCCTCAATCCGCAGAACCCTCCTCAGTTAGACCCTGGAGAGAGTAAGGGCCTCGCCACACCACGATCAAAACAATGCATCTTCCCGCAGACAATGGCAAGATGCATCCATTACCATGAACAGCAACGGCCGCATTACCACTTTCTGAGAAAGATGCATTCGTTCTTTCTTTCGTTTCAACAGTGGTGTGGCGAGGCCCTAACCCCGTCATTCTTATCATAACTCCAGACCACTGTCGTTTTCTGCTGGCAAGCCAGACAGAACGGTAGCTCAAAAATTGTGTAAGAAATACTAAGAATGCTAAGAGTCGGAGAATCCCTCTTTCCCCTGCCAGTGGGTAGGCACGAGAGAGAGAGAGAGGAAAAAAAAAAAAAAAAAAAAAAAAAAAAAAAAAAAAAAAAAAACAGTAATGCCTCGTCATAACAGTGGCGATGTGCAGTAGTGACTTGTTAAAAAACGTGATAAAGAATAATCAACAATGTCCTTCGGGGCATCCGTTAAAATTGGAACGATACAGAAAATGAATATTAGCACGGCCCCTGCGCAAGGATGACACACATAAATCGAGAAATGGTCCAAATTTAATTATAATAATAATAATAATAACAATAATAAATTATTAATAATCAACAATGGAGAGCACATAGCTGGCTTTCTTCCGCACACACACAGCGATTGTCGCTGGTGTTCTTCAACTATCAATGAACCGTCAGTCAGCAGACTCAGCACATACTTCGTCTGAAACAGTTTTCACCTTTGGCAGTAGCCGATGCAGATCCCAGGGGTCGATCCCTTGACCTCAGCTTACCTGTGTACAGTATCTGCACAGTTCCCTGGAGTTGAACCCGTGACCTGCACGATAGCCAGTGGTAAGTAGGTC